GAGATATTGTAAAAAGAGCCAGAAGCCTGGGGGTTGATTCCCCCTTGTGATGTGCACTGGAATGGTGTCTTTTCAGGAGTTTGTAAGCCAGGGTCTGCAGAACATACAGGAGTAAATCAATAGTTCACATCCCTCTCTGAGTGCAGGGCCAACTGTCCTCAGGAACACTCCATGGCATTAAATATTTAACCATCAATCCACTGCCCCAAAGGGTCATTATAAGTACTTTTCTCAAGAGTGAAAAGAACCAGCAGGGAAGGCAGTATATTCCTAAAGCAAACCAGGGGCAGAAATCCAGCTGAAAATGGTCTTCTTTTGCCCTGATTTGGGAGCAGACACACACCAAACTGCTGCATCACCCATACTGTGTTAGGTGCAGGCAATGAGCATTAATTGAGGCTTTTTCTACTCCAAAACACTCAAGGCATTTCTATATCCTGCTACAGAGATATGAATCATAGGATCATCAAGGTTGGAAAAGACCTTTAAGATCATTGAGTCCAACCATTAATCTAGCAGCAGCATATTCACCACTAAACCCTATTCCTAAGTGCCATGTCCATATGCCTTTTGAATACTTTCAGGGATGATGTTTCCCCCAGTTCCATGAGCAGCCAATTTTAATGTCTGACCACCCTTTCAGTGAAGAAATTTTTCCTAATATCCACTCTAAACTTTGGTGCAATTTGAGGCCATTTCCTCTTGTCCTATAGATTGTTACCTTGGAAAAGAGATTGACCCCCACCTTGCTACAACCCCTTGAAGCCTGTAGGATTGCATTTGAAGCACTAGTCTGAGCTTCCCTCATTGTTTTCCCAAAACTGGCCACTGCCCAAAAGGATCGTGATGCCCTACACCAGAAATGTGGTTTTAGGCAACCTGAGCTAAGCAGGTGTTGCAGCTGGGAGCATTTCTGAAGCACGGTCCCTGGGCTAAGCATGAGTGGGACACTTTTAAAGACTAAGGACTACTCTCCTGCTCCCTTACCAGTCAAGAGGAGCTCTGAGAGACAACATCCCAAAACCCCAATGGATTGGGCAAAACCCATACTGGATTGGGCAGCATCTTCCATCAGAGCCTCTCCACTGAGCATCAAGGGAGGAAACTGTTTTCTCTGCTATTGGCCCAAAGGGGAAACATGGGCCACAACTCAACAGGCTACTGAACAGAGGGACTGAAAGGACACTGACCTGTGCACATTTCAGGGACACCAAGTGAAATAATTGTATTGAAGCATTAAGTGGCCATGTCAGGGCACATCCTCATGCTACAGAGCAGCTAAGAGGGCAGACAGAAAGATTCTTTGGCTACTCTACATCCCCCTGCACATTCCCATTCCTTGCTGCTGGGATAATTTGTGCAGCCTTCCTTCAGTACAGGAAGCTTTCCACCCAGAGTTAAACAGAAACATAAGGGAATACAGTTTTAGAAGGAAATCATTGACTTCTTGAGCAGCACAAAGGGCAAAACAATAGCAAATGGCATCTGGTTTTTGTCAGGATGTACAGCCTCTGCAAATTACAGCCCAAATTAATAAGAGCCATCCAAAAGGCTAATCAGTGTCATCTAAGAGAGTCAGCTTAATTCAGGATATGCCTCTTTGGTTTCTCAGTGCAATACAAATTAGAAAAAAGGAGTGGCAAATTAAATATGTATGGGGTCTAGGCAGAACTTTCCATCAGCTATAGAATACAAAAAAGGAGGAGAAAGGAATATAAAATTAACAAGGTGAGTATGCAGTAGGCAAAGGAAAAATGCAACAAACAGTCCCTAGCACAACAACAGGGCTGCCACAGAGCAGCTGCCTGAGTCTGCCAAATTCCAAGGAAGACTAGAGGAAAACAAGCCCACAGAGACAGAGCATCCCCACAGGAGAGGCACGTGTCCTGTAAACAATTTCACTACTGTAAGCTGGACTCTGAACTCATGGTGGCCAGTTCCTGAGTTGTTAAGTCTGGCCATGTGAATCCCACGACACTCGTTTTACAGAGATTACCTACAAATATTTCAAAGGACTGAAGAAAAAGCACTGACCTCCACCTATGCATTTTTGCTATATGTATTTACATCACTTCTTTTTTCCTCCTCATTCCCCTCCCCTTCTGATTATGCTGAAACACCTCTCTTTAATAGCGGAAAGGTGCTAAGCAATCCAGCTCAGAATATTTTTACTAATGAACAAAAAATAGGACAAAGACTTGAAAATATAGTATAATTAAAAATTAGAGATTTTTTTTTTATTTCAATTGATATAGAAAAAATACTTAATTGTTTTCAAATACAAACTCTTTCAGCATAAAGCAAATACAATGCACCACCACATGAGATGGCTCCCCCATGTACATAATACTATAATAATTGGGGCATTCTCCATAGCTGAGGGAGACCAGATTCAGTTTCTTCATATGCCTGTCACAGTCATATTTTCTGGAAAAATCCCTTTGCCAGGATTTTACTCCTGGGAAGCTGAGATGCCTTAGACAAAAAGGAAAACAATAATTATCAGATTTGCTTCTCCTGTATTTTGCTGCTTTGGAATGTGCTTGGACATGGTTTACCAAGAGGTGGTTGTTTTTTAATTGGTTTCCTGTGAATTGTTTTGACTTAATGACCAACCACAGTCAAGCTGTGTCGGGACTCTGCAAGGAGTCACAAGTTTTCATTATTATCTTTCTAGCCTTCTGTAAGTATCCTTTCTGTATTCTTTAGTATAGTTTAGTATAGTATTCTTTAATATAATCTAGTATCATAAAATAATAAATTAGCCTTCTAAGAACATGGAGTCAGATGCATCTTTCCTTCCCTTTGTCTGGGAACCCTGCAAATACAAGATATGCCTAAGGAAATTCAAACTTTTTGGAGAGTGAGACAATCAGAGGATGTAGGCTATTTTGGGCGGGTGGCTGTGACTGTCTACCAAAATTGTAAATTAAATTTCACAGAAAAATTCAAGTCTCCTATCAGCAGGAAGGCACATTAACATGCAGGTAGCTGCTGCTGCCAGCAGGCTGAGAGAAATCAGTCAGTGGGATCCCTGCTCCCACAGCTCAGTAGGTGTTTTCTACCAGGTGGTCATTGGGCTAGCAGACAGGTAACATGGGAAAGCAGGGCCATGGTCAGGCATGGGATATGCTGTTTGCCAAGGGGACATGACCTAGAGCAGCCTAAGGACATGGGGAAATCCTGTCTACAGAAGCAAGATTCCCAGGTTTTCCTTTTTGAGTCCCTGCCCCATCTGAGAGCATCTACAGCCCAGCTTGCCATCGATCTAAGACACTGGGGGCAGATTTTTGTTTTACCAGGCAATTCATTCATTGTTCCTTGATAAGAAGGAAGATTTATAAGGTAAGTAGTGCTTCAGAGAAGAAATGGGACTTAAATGATGGGACATAGTGATGACCAAAGGGTCTCTTTATTTCAGACACTGGGTATATAGAGATTGCCTCCCTCCCCTCTCCTTCAGCCTGGGCACACACAACCTGTCCTGCACAAGACTTTTGACATGAAATAAGAGATTATATACCAAAAGCCACCTAAAAAAATTTCAATTATTACCAAGTGAAGCAAACCACTCTTAGCACAAAAATATTGCTTGTGTCACCTGCAGGACAAGGTCCTTCCTGCTGGACTGTGGAGCCTTGACAGAGGACACCCATTCGTTCAGCTGTCAGTGATGCCACAGCAGCAAACACAGCATTAATTATGCCATTATATCCATGCTAGGACAGAAACCTCTGTTGTATATGAAACTCTAAAAGGAAATAAAGCATACAATGCAGGGAATCTGAAATGAGAGCTCAGGGTCACAGGCAAAATTCAAATGAAGTATCTTGATTTGAAAAAAAGAAAAAAAGAAAAAAAATCAATCAGCAGTCTCTCCCAAGGCATTTCACCTCTAATTGAAGAGTGAATTGTGTTTACTTAACTGCTCATGCTCTTGACTGTCTCTCAGCAAAAGAATCGTGCTTACACTACATAAAATTCAGTTTTTGGCTTCCTTATGATCCCACAGGACTGGATTCCACACTTTAAGACACATATGTAAAAAAAGAACTGAAATCTGAAAGATATCTTTTCATTGTATAGAAAAGAAAAATATTTCCTTCAAATACAGATTTGAAGCCCCTCCAGCTCCTGTTTCCACAGCTGAAGTGGAAACCATAGGAAAGGCCACATATGCTAAAAGTAAAATTAAAGCTGTTTCAATTGGTCAAGGGCTATGTAGGCTGCTGTAATCCTGGATACCTAAAATCATATTATGTCAGAAACAGATTTTACACACAGAAGGATCTTTGTTTTTTTCATTATGTGTATGCATAATTCTGGAGAGCTGAACTGAAACTATCATAAAGGTGCTCAAAATTGACCAAAAATGAAGTTTAAGTGAAAAATTACTCAGACTTTTGTCTCAAATGTTGTCATCACTGAAGCAAAATGGGGAACTACATGCAGCATTTATGAATCAAAAACAATTTATCAGAACAAGCTGGGAATTTGAGTGAAGATGGACATAATAATAAAACGCCACCACAGGAACTGAAAAAAGTTCTAAAACTTTCTGGCAAACAACTGTGTTTTAAAAGCCAACCTCCCATATATATTGTTCATCCCCACTTACTTGAAAATGACAGATCTGATTCTTGGGTCATCTTCTTTTCACAAAATGGCTTTACAGCTGGAGCACCAATAATTGGGTAGAGCATCTCTATGTAGCAGGATTGCTGGGTACTGTGGCTGCTACATCAGTATTAACTGATCTTCCATCCACTGGATGGAATATCATGGGACAACTTCTCATGTACTTCCTGGGTGGCTACGCTACAATTCCAAAGTGGTCTTAACTGTTATGGTACCTCATGCTGAGACACAGCTGTGTTGCCTTCTCATCAAACTCCTCTAAGCCCATCATTAAACACCATTCCCCATTAGCTTCACCTGAAAAAAGACAATGCAGAAATGAAAGGAAACTCACTCAGAAACAGAGGAGACAAAGCAGGTGGTAGAAACATGACCTTCCTTCATAAGGTCAAATAGCTTTATTGTGATTAAGCACTACAATACAGTATATATCCATAAAAAAACTCTATAGTGTATATAAATTATTCCTTCCATTCAGTAATTCTCTTTTTGTTTTCAATTTTTTTTTCATTTCCATTACAGCTTTGGTACAATGTGATTTTATTATATTTTTAAATACTTTTAGCTTCACAAACTCAACACAAAGTACAAAACTAATCCGAATCGGGGATATTACAATCTACACAGTGGTGTTCAGTGGTAGGAAAAAATCTTACCTCAATGAATTCATGTCACTAGCTAAGCTATAAAGGCATACCTAGCAGACATGACAAAAATATGCACCATTAACCAGCAAACATTTTTTTTTCAAAATTTATTTTACTTTTCTTTTTTTTTTTTACAGGTTTTTCCAGCAGCAAATCACTTGAGCATTGTCAGTACTCATGTCCTCAACTGATTTTTCTGTTGTGTTCCTCTTCATTTGAAGGCCATGATTTATTTGTCAAATAATGCACCTCTATCCTCATAAATCTAAGCCACAGTGTCAGTACTTGACCTGCCACCCTGCATTGTTGATGCTTGCACAGTTTGTCCTGCAGCTGGCAGAAATAACTGGAACGTTATTGGAGGGGCAGTGTGGGGCAATCAACCGGAGGTTGTTCTGTGGGGCAGGAGGTATGACATTACAGTAGACAGGCATTCCAGTGGCTGTAAGTGTTCCTTGACCTGATTGATTAGGTAGCATGATTGGTTGTTGATATGATTGTTGCGGCAATCCTTGAGAACCCTGGGTCATTGGCACCTAGGCAGGAATATGGAAAGACGTAGGGGAAAAAAAGATAGCAATTACTAAGCAAGTTAAAGTAGGCTTCCAGTATCCCTACATTCCTTCTAGCTGAATTTGAGTATACTGTATGTTCTGCCAAAATGTGCTATTTTCTGCTGCTCAGAACTCTTCTCATCTCTGAGGATTTTTTTGTTACAGAAGGTTTTAAAGAGAATTCCCTCTGCTTTTAGGCCTAGAAAGTGTCTCTGTCATGACCTAGTAGAATATGCATTACCATGATACTGGGGAACAGTGCAAACAGAAGACTCAACCCTAGTATATCTAGGCCATCTAAAAGGTCTAAACCTTTAACTTGATCATTAACCTTTAAAACATGTTCTCCATATTATAATTCTGAAGATGTAAGAGGAAAATTTTACCCATAAGCAATTCCCCCATTTCCATCTGTGTCACTGAAGTGTTTTCAAAGAAGCTGAGGGAAAAGGGGAATGGCTGCTCAATCAGTGCAATCTATAAAAATGAATTAGATGTCATTTAGTTTCTTAACTTTCCAGAGGGACCAGTAGGAAGAGTAAGCACAGGCCACCTCTCATATGCGCTTGGCATAACTCACGGAAACTAGGTAGAAAGGTTGGGAAATAAGTCTGGGTAACTTACGGACTTGGTAAAAATCAAGCCACTGCCTTCCCTCTCCCCAGAACCCAATAAACAATAATCCATCTGGCTACAGCTTGTTATAGAAGACATGGTGAGATCCTTGGCAGGAGTCTCCACAGATGAGTAATTTTTAACTGGATCAGGCAAAGCCCTCAACTTCATTACAGGAAACAGTACTGCACTGGCAAAAAAGAGAAGAAATGAACAATGTTCTTATATTTTTTAAAATTAATTTTCTTCACAGGAAGAAGTCTAATTCCTTCGTTCTTTGTGACATTACCCTCACTGCAGGCTGTAATAAATAGTTCATTTGAAGCATTCCAAAATCAGAACGAAAGTCAGGAGTACTAAAACATATAAATAGGAAGTAAAGAAACTGACTTAGAAGCGTATTCATCAGAAGGCTTCCTGCCACACACTACCCAAATGAAGATATAAGGGCACTGTGTGATGCAAAAACTTAATTAAATTAAGCATTCTCCAAGAAAAAACATCTTTCCTTACAGCTCCTAAGTACCTGATAAGACGACATGGCTGGATACTGCACCATCATGCCTTGCACCTGATTCCCCTGTTGATTATTCATCAGGTTCTGGCTTTGGGGCGGCTGCTGCATTCCCATGAGACCCTGGAACCCCTGCTGCTGGCTCGGCAGGACAGGCTGGTAACCTGGAAGAGGAAAGACATCTTCAAATACCCTGTGGCTTGTAGGGGCCAAATTTTAACAGTTCTAAGGTACAGCAAATGATCCCATCGTTTATACCCACATTAGTTAAAAAGTTACTTGTTCCTGTAGAAATGTTACTGGAAATGAAAACTGAAGTGCAATAAACAAGTGCCATGAGCTGGCAGCCCTAGCAAGCTGACCTGAGTGGGCACCACATTCTCCTTTATGCTTTTTGACACTGTGGCAGAGACCACCTGAAGGACTGTCTGACTGCAGCACAGGGCTGTAAAGCCCTCAAGAGACACAGGATGCTACTGTCTTTTGGCTACTTCCTCAGAGGCAAAACTCCCAACAACTTCAAGGACACCAGCATTTGGCCTTCTTGGTCTAACTTGACAATTTCTTTCAGGTCACATTTCTTACCTTACCCTCTTAATTTCCTTTTAATGCAGCTCCCTAGCTCAATATAGACAGAGAAGCCTTTATTTAATCAAGAAGAACACCTCTATACACACACTTGCTCTCACTTGCAAGGTTTTTTATGCAATTAGAGCATATTAAGGGTGATAATCCACTGTACTATTTTCATGTGTGTCAAAGTAAGGAAAATAATAAATTAGGAAGTATTGTCTCCATTGCTTGTTAGGAACACTGCACTGCTGATGCTTCTGTTTTAACCTGTGACTAATTCTGTGCTCAAAGTCACCACAAAATTGCAGATTTTCTGCTGGGATGGGTCCTTTAGGACTAACAGAGAAATGGGCAAAGATGGGATGATCTAGAGAGCCAAGCCGCTGATGAGGCAGCAGTGCGGATGGGAAGGCAAGCACAAATAAAAAATTGCTCAGCAGCAATGCAAATTTGCCTGGGAATGAGCCTAGACAGATGGAACTGGGCTGGTTGGGTGATGGTGATATTTAGCAATTAAGAACTTCACAGTAAAAGCAGGAAAGGAAAGGAATATGCAGAAAGATACTGCCCTTGAAAAATGTGGCCAGACATAGGTATGATAAATCTATGAATAATTTCTCCTTAACACATTCTGTGTTCTTTAGCACCCATATTTTTAACATGCAGTTATGCAGTGCAGTATTAACTCTGTAGTGATGTTTTTACCATAAGCATATTTCAGACAAAGAACTACCAGAAGGAACAACTCTGTGTCATCTTTCTATGAAAAAATTGTGTCTTGTCTACTCAATTTATATTCATGAATACAGTACCTAGTTCAATATACTTCACAAGTGAAAACCATCATCTGGATATTTCTTCATTATGTAAGAGAAATAAAGTAACAAATGTCTGTTTCTGCTGGTCTATTGTCAGTTGATAGCCTTCCTTCTAAATCTGTTCTTATGCCAGGGAAATGTTGAGATTTCTGGTCAAGTATTTGGCATTAAAGATGCTATTCCAGAGATTAATGTCTCCAGTCAACTGAGCAAAATTTAAAAAAAAAAATTCCATGAGTGATTAACTTGGCTGGGATATAGCATTAAACTTCTCCCAAACTCACCAGATTATTATACATTCAGATTTGCTCTTTTCCTATGCCCAAACACTGTGTCAGCATATTTTTAGTCATAAAAATTACCAACATCAGAACTGCTGTAACTGAGTCTACAGAAGGCTTATACAGCAATAATAAAATTGCAAGTTCTCTTCTGCTCCAGTACACCAATTATGTGGGGGGAGGGGATAGAGGATAGAAATAAAAAATTTAGCATTACTCTTCTGGTATTTGCAGGACTAGAAGTTAAGTAGAGGGGTGTCAACTGACAGCAGAAACAGTAACACAAAATTCATCTCCTCTCACCTCCAGTTGTTAAAGTTAAATCCCAGAAGTGTAAAGAACCATAGATGGATAGTGAGCCAGGGATCAAGTGACACTTCTGTGGAATGTAATCCAACACTGGACTTGGGCTCAGAGAACTGGACTGTAATGCACCAGCACAGGGTGGCAAACTGGTGCTCTGCAGAGACAGACAGACACTACTGGGGCCAAGTAGAAAGCAGCCCTTCTGTTATCTCTAGTAAATATGATGGCATTAACATTACTTTTGTGAGACTACTGCAAATGCCCTGCTATGTGTTTAAATACACAGCTCTCTCTTCACTTCACCTTTGTGTTCCATATTCTCCAAATATGACAGATTTATGACCCGGTGCAGACATGACTATCAAACTGAAACAAAAAAATCATGGAAAAGCTGAAGTAGCTACCTGTGTGATGAATGTATTGGCATGATCTCCTCGGGATATTACAAAAACAGAGTCATAGAATGGGTTTGGTTGGAAGGGACCTATAAGACCATCTAGTTCAAATGACACACACACACACACACACACACACACACACAAATACCTAGCCCTGAAAAATCTCCTCTGTACTGGGAAGCAATGCTTAGTACATGGCATAACCACTCCAGGTTTAAGGTACAGAAATATGAAAAGGAGACAGGCTGAAGAGCTGAGGTCCACTGAGGCTATGCATTAATATTTCAACAATCTTATTCCAACACTCTTCAAAGACTTTAGTGATTTCTCCTGACCACAGAACATGTGCCTCCTCACCCCTGGCCCAACCTGCAGAGTACATCCCTGAAAGTGAGAATAAGACCTTTTTCCTACTCCTTGTCTAAGCCTTTTTGCAATGCTCTGACCACACAGAAAAGCCCCAATACAAATACTTCACATGCACTCTAACATACCTCCATTTTGATTAGATGGGAACAAATAGGTTGTATCCTGAATCAACTTAGAATTTATGAGAATGTAAGTCCCTTCTTTGTCCAGAAGGAGGTATTCTTGAATATTTAATGCCCTGACTTGTTAGTAGAAATGGGGATGTTTAAGAAGTTTACTGGCCTGTGTGTATCTTTGCAAAGATGCTGATTGTCATCTCTTCTTTACTTAATATTCATGGACTTTTTTTTTTTTATGATCAGTACCGTTTGGAATTAAATGAAGCTATGGAAGTCAGACTGTGCTGTAGAACCCAGTATAGCATTTAGTCAAAACCCAGCATCTTCTTCAAGGTTCTGCACCTAAATAAAGCCACTTTATTTTACCTGAAAGCCCTTTATTATGCTAAATACATGAGGCAGGATGCAGGTTTGTCCATTCTTTTGAACCTAAAAACATGACAAGGTACAAAAGTATATTCCAACATTACAGAGGAGGTAGCAAATATTAAAAAGTGGATCAATTTTTTTATCTACAACAAGCTTTATAAGCAAGAAAAAAATGCTGTGACAAAACAAAAAAGCCAATATCCATTCTGCTACATGGCTTCTGTTTCAGCACAAATGAAAGTAGAACAATTGGCAAAGTGGCAATCCATTAGGAGAAGTTGTTAATTTCAGAAACCAGCTGTACTGAATTTCCTATCACTGCAGCCCAAATTCTCCATGTAATATTTGAAACAGGTCCTCCAGTGTTTACTGGATGTAGACATCTTTGTAAATTTCTGCACTCTGGCCAGGAAAAATAATGGAGGTGGGAGAATTGAGACTAACATCAACCTTTTAGCACTGTTTGTGAAACTATATACCTGCTTTTTTTTTTCCTCAGGGACAGACTACCAGAGAATGCCATTCCAACAAAATTACTTATTTTGTACACACACAGCACAGTCTTAAACTACGTCATGCTTTTCATGTGCTATTTTTCATTGACATGGAAATAATACTGTATTCTCAAAAGTCTTGAAAACTGACTGCGGTGCATAAGAAACCAGGCATTACTGGGCAGAGGTGGATATTTTGGAGCTACACAGGTGTAAGAAAAGTGAGAACAGGAAGTGGCAACATGCTTATGCAGCAATAGTTTTCTTTGCACTTGCTATTTTGCCCATTAGCTTTCATACTCCATGAAGAGTAATCCTTAAAAGCCTCTTTACAGTCCCCTGAGAACATACATACGTGGGTTATTTTCTAATGGCAGTACACATCAGATGAACCATCCTATTACTGCAAGCTCCAGGGCCTCTTTACTGCAATTATATCATCCTGCTCTATGTTATCTCTGCTACAAAGGAGGATTTTTTTAAATCAGGGCAAACATGAGAGACATTGTTAAACAATCAGGGGAACAAATCGTGCACAGAATTTCAACGAATGCCTCAGAGGAAAGATGAGCCTTGGATTCCAGCTGAAATGGAAGAGGCTGTCATATCATCAAGGTAATTCTCTGAACCTTTACAGCCTGCCTCACCATGCTAAAAGTCATCTAACTTAAACATCCCAGGGGAGAAAGACTGAATGAAAGACCCACAAATGTTTCAATTGCCGAATGAGGCTATGCAGCTCAAAAGACAAAATGCAGCAGTTTTACACCTTTTCTGGTAGTGACACCCAGAGCTGCAATTAAAGCATGTTTGGTGCTCTCCTGGCCTCAGCATACATCCTTCATGAATGGCACATTCATGTTGGGAGGGACTGTTTCATTGCTCATTTCAGGTTTGAAGCACGTGCTACCAATGTTGGGAACATGTGTATCAGCACTGTGGGTGGAGTGTGAGTCCCTGAACTGCAAATCTTATTGTACTCTTTCCATTTGAACAGACTCCTTGCATCCATGCCCATCCAATGCAAACACATAGACTTATAGTGCTTTTCATGTAGCATGATTTGAGAGCTTACCTGCTCCCTTTCTGCTTTACTCAGTGTAACACCACCTGAAATTCAGATACCTCAGCAATGTACTGCAATGGCTTAGGCAAGCTAAGTCCAAAAGGAAGTTAAAAGAGAAACCTCAAGCAGAGGTAACTGGGTTGGGTGGAATGCTGCACAGAATCTGGGTGTGCTCCTGCCTGCTCTGTGCAGTGCCTTTCTGGTGCCCTATGCCATCCTCCCTTTCCTTTCTCCTCAATCCCCCTGTATAGACCAGTTCAGCCCCTGCAACAACTGCCAGGAGCACTGGGAAGAGACTGAATTTGAGCTCACATGAAAAAGCCAAGGAGAACAAGCACCAACTCTTGGTGTGGACCCTGTGAAGCATTTGA